TTCACATGAGGTACATCATGATTTATATAATTTATATATCAATAATATACGTATAATAATAATAATTATTATTGTTATTATATATTTTTACTGTGTGCTAATTTCTGCTTGCACGTCTGTGAGAATCACCGTCTTGTTAGCATCAGACACTAACGGAATTAGCATTCGCTTGCGTAAATTTGCATTACAAATCCATTCTGTTCAGCAGTTATATAGTACTTTTTCAAGTAGGAGGTTGGAAATTTTCAGTATCCCAGTTTTCGGAAATGCATCGCCAAGTGCGATACTACTAATAATGTAATCACAGTCTCTGTGTGACTGTCTTTGTAACACAATCTTTGGGGAACTCTCTAAACATGGTCTCTGTGTCTATGTGTGACTCTCTAAACAGGGAACTCTCTAAGCACGGTCTGCGTGACTCTATATGTAACTCTCTAAACACAATCTTGGGGGAACTCGCCTATCACATTGTCTGTATCTCTCTGACTCTTGTGTGACTCAAGATTTCCTGTTATGTGTGAGATGACGTGTGTGCTGCTCTCCAGCGAACTTTGCTCAGTTCACCATGAACTGAGAAAGGGGGGGGGGGGGGGGCATTTGGAGATAATCTATTGCAGTTTCTGTTTTGAAGCCACAGGTGCAGGAGAAGGGTGTTCAGCACTGAGCTGGGTAGTACCTCTTAGCCTGGAGAGCGGTGTGTAAATGGAAATCTGGTAGCTTCTTCTGTTCAGCTGATATGACGTTTGTGATTCTGTTACCATGTGGGAGTTGGGATTGAGTGTCTGACCTAGGCAGTCTCCCAGCCCCTGTGCTCAGCTGTAGGACACCCTCTGCCCGTCACGTTACTGTCCCAGATTTTTCATTTAATAAAACATGTATCAGTATTGTGGCTGCCACTGTCTACACAAAGTGTGACGTGCCAGCGCCAACAGCTGGTCTCACAAAGTCGCATTACAAACAACGCGCTGTGTGTGTGTGTTTGTGTGTAGGTCTGTGTCTGCGTGTGTGTCTGTTTGTAGGTGTGTCTGTGTGTAGGAGTGTATCTGTGTGTAGGTCTGTGTCTGTCTCTGTGTGCGTCTGTGTGTAGGTCTGTGTCTGTCTGTCTGTGTCTGTCTATGTGTGCATCTGTGTGTAGGTGTGTCTGTGTCTGCTTGTGTGTCTGTATCTGTCTTTTTGTATGTGTGTGTGTCTGTGTGTGTGCATGTGTGTATCGGAGGATGCAGTTTCACGCTGTCCTTCCCTCTCCCAGGAAGATGGAGCAGAAGACCAATGATGCTGATCAAATCATGGAGTACTTCAAGCAGCAAGTGCTGCTGCTTAAGGAGAAAGCTTGTAGGGGAATGCAGAGCTCGGACACGCTGCATGCTGCTGCTTAAGGAGAAAGCTTGTAGGGGAATGCAGAGCTCGGACACGCTGCATGCTGCTGCTTAAGGAGAAAGCTTGTAGGGGAATGAAGGATGTAGAGGAATGCAGGACAATAACAAAGGGCTCCACCTGTATAGTATGGGGATGAAATGCCAGTTAGCATTTCTGATGATGATAATCCAGCATGCATGCATGCAAACACTAACATTACATGCTGAGTATATGTCTATTTTTAAGCATGCATATTTGCATACATTTTATGTTTCTGAATGAGCATCCATCCATCCACCCATCCATCTTTACTATCTGCATTTGCACATGACTGCATGCTTAGTGTCTGTTGGTTTTGTTTGGTCATATTTATTATTAGCAGCAGATCGCAGCCTGTTTGCTTATTGTATCCCATGGAAATGTGGCTGAAGTGTTACAGGCGTCTGTGCGCGAGGAGAAGAAGCTCCTGGTGGAAAACGCCAAGCTGAAGAACGACATCGAGGACCTGAAGAGGCTCCTGCTGGAGAAGCAGAAGAGCAGAGCAGGTAGGGAGGAGGCGCGCGTCACTGCGAGGCTCGACGATGTCCACCTGCCTGCCTGTGATGTGGCCGTGCGGGGTCTGCTGATGCTGGAGGGACGTCTGAATGCCCAGCGTTCACAGGCTGACTGTTTGAGGGCTGTAAGCAGAGCTCTGCTGGGTCAGTACAGCAGTGATAGCGTGTTGCGTGTCCCACCTTCTGCAGGCTTCAAAGGCCCACCCAGGAAGGCATTTGCTTCCCCTGTGGTGATGAATCAGCTCTGATTTGTCAGTTTGGAGCAGACGCTGGTATCTAGAGAACATGGAAGACATGATGCTGGCTTTATCAGCTCAGTGTGAGCGGCAGCAGTTTGCTGATGAATGGCAGAGAAGCTCACATCCAAAGGAGGCAAATGAATCCTTGAAATGCAGAGAGGAGAGCCTCAGGCCACCAGATCCGCTGCGAGTTGCACAAACACGTGCTGTATTTGTTAAAAATAATGTTCACAAGTCAGAGGCAGTTCTAGGACTAAGACTGACCTAACATCTTACAGGGGTGAATGATTAGAGCATGTTACTGATTGAAGTTAAACCAAGATGTTTGTGGATGCCTGATCTTTGACACTGTGTCAGGCTTAAATCCTTTACATGGTTTGTTTTATTTAAACGTTGGAGCTTCTACAAAGACGTTTCTGCATTTTTATGACTCGTATTAAAAGAGTAAATGTCATTTTCTGAGGAAGGAAAATAAAACAGCAGGTCTGGTTACTGCTTTAATCTCCAGATGGTGGGATATATGCTGTATTTGTATATAAATATAAATATAGTTTATGGTTCTGTTTTACTTTGTTTTTGTTTTTTGTGCTGGTGCAGCCGTTTGGCAGATCAGACCTGCTGTGTACAATTACAGTGTCATCCGCCTGTCTGACAGGCTGTGTCCAGGGGCAACTTCTTTCTTTCTGTGGGGCCACTAAAAAAGTCTCCCTCCTCACTGCAGTGACTGTTAGAGACCAACTGGGGGCCCAAACCCCAAGGGCCCATACACATGCACGGCCTGAGCGGTGGTAAACACTGCGATGACTCTCATGCCCCTTTGTGTGACTCTGCAGCTGTACAGGCAGCTGCCCCTGTGGAGAGGACCCCCAGCCAGGGAGCCCCCAGTGTCGCCACCGCCCCCCCCCAGAAAGATGGCGAGGGCAGGAGGAGGCGAGCTGCCAGGAGAGGTGAGGCCCCAAGAAAACGAGAGGGGGGCGACGGACGGCTTCCGGTACTGTCTGTGGATGAAGCCCCCTGTTCCTTTGGATACAGGAGTGAAAGAGGAGCGCAGGGCGGGGGCCCCGGGCCTGGCGGGGCCCCTGGGCTTGGCAGGGGACATCGAGGTGGACGTGTCACGGCTGGACGTCCGCGTGGGCCGTATCCTGATGGCCACCAGGCACCCGGACGCTGACAGCCTGTATGTGGGGGAGGTGGACGTGGGCGAGGAGACACCCCGCACTCTGGTCAGCGGCCTGGCAAAGCACGTGGCCCTGGAGGAGGTGCGGGGTCCGGTGGCCGGGCGTTATTACAACCAGGCTCCACACACAGCCCAGACACATGCCGCACACAGCCCGCGCACACATAAGAACATAACAAATTAACAAACGAGAGGACGCCATTAGGCCCATCAAGTTAGTTTTGGGAGAACCTAACTAATAGCTCAGTTGTTAAAATCTTATCTAGCTCTGACTTAAAGGAACCCAGGGTTTTAGCTTGTGCTACATTAGCAGGAAGTCTATTCCAACTATACGCTGTGTAAAGAAGTGCTTCCTCAAATTAATTTTAAAATGTTCTCCCGCTAATTTCCATTTATGGCCACACCCTGCATACGACCAATTGGCTTGCACCTGATTCATACCACCAATCGGCTTGCACCCAGCTCACACAACCAATCGGCTCGCAGCCAGCTTACACGACCAATAGGCTTACACCCGGCTCACACGACCAATTGGCTCTTGCTCTTCATGATATTTGGTATTTGGCATGCTGCGTTAGTTAATGTGTGGTTATCCTGGAAATTACGTAATATACATGAAGATGTGGAGCACATGCTGTTTCTGAGAGGGACCGTGTGTTACCAAACGCTGCTTTCTGTATGGTGCGTGTGAGTCTTCACCTGTAGGGGGCTTCCGTCTTCCTCTGGTCTGCCCAGTGCCATGCTGCTCTGTGACAGAATGTCCCATGCTGTGTTTCCTTTGTAGATGCAGGGCCGCATGGCAGTCCTCCTTTGTAACCTGCGACCTTCCCGGATGCGGGGTGTGCTGTCTCAGGCGATGCTGCTGTGCGCCGCTTCCCCAGAGAAGCTGGAGATTCTGGGGCCACCCGCCGGAGCCGCCCCTGGGGACAGGGTGACCATCCCTGGCTTCTCTGGTAACCGTCCTCTGATTGGTGACATTCGCTCACCCTGAGCTGGGTTTGAATTGGAATTGGGAGCTTTAGCCAAACCCATCGCACTGAGGCAGCCACCATCAGCTGTCTCTCCAGAGCCTGTCAGCCCTCATCTCTGAGCCTTCACCTCCTGATGCAGGTGAACCGGACCGGGAACTAAACCCCAAGAAGAGGCTGTGGGAGCGGACACAGACGGAGCTGCGTGTGGATGACAGGGGTGTGGCCACCTATAGGGGGCGGGCCCTCGAGGTCCGGGGCCGAGGCGCATGCAGGGCACAGACCATGAGCAGCTGTGCCATCAAGTAGAAGAGCAGCACCATGTGCAGTACGCAGTGTGCAGTACACAGTGTGCAGTACACATTATGCAGTGTGCAGTACATATGTACGTTTTACACATTGTAGCATTAACGTGTCATTTGAAGTTTGCTGTTTTTCTTTTTTTTTTACATTCATTACATCAGCAAAATCCCAACCAACCAGGACTGTTTAATTGCATAATAAACCTGCTGCCCCTTGCTGGTCTGTCTGTGAATTCACCTTCTGCAGGTTAATTGTGTGGTTATGTGGTTTAGATACATACATCCGTAAAAATGCGGCTAGTGAGCAGAAATGAGTCATTCAGACAACAGCATTAACACAGGAATACATCATCTCAGACACATACCCTGTTATCACCATGTGAAGTAAATTAAATGAAATTAAATCAAGAGGACATTTTTTTAATTTGTATTGTGAGACACTGAGGGCATTATTAGTTTACTTCCAACCTTGTCTATCAAAGGACCTTGCAGTATTCACCTGTTCACACATGGGCAGTTCTGCTCAACACTACATCCAGGATGCTCTTAGGACAGTGTCCACCTCCATGGACTAAAGGCAGTAACAACGCTCCCTAAGTGAAGTGTCTTTCAGCACTCAGACGCTCTTTAGCTGAAGTCCTCTGTATTTGTTTTTCCTGGTGAGCAGCACCAGTTTTTCCAGCAGGGGTCGTCCCTCTGTACGCAGCCAGGTTGCTGAGTTGTCCACAAAGTGGTGTCGGCGTTCTACAGTTTCCAGCAGGGCCTGGAAGGCGCCGGAAGCCTGCATGAGGTACTCGGTGGACCCGAGATGGGCCTGGTCCACGCGGTCGCCGTGGCTGAGCGCCAGCAGGGTGTGTCCTCTCCACTCGGGGCCAAAGAGATCCTGAAGGACAAAGAGGTGTGGAGATGAGGGTGAGGGGTCTGTCAGGCAGCCGTCAGCCGCAAGGCGCCCCAGGTACGAGAGGGACTCCGCTTTCAGCTGCCTTGACGTCAGCTATAATATTGTAATAGAATATACCTCAGATCATCGTGTGTGGAAGGGGGAAGGGGCAGTCGTACACAAAGGATCATCAGGCATGAAAAAAATAAGGAAAATGTGTTTCTGTTCCAAGAGTGTCAGACACAGTAAATCATACCGAGAGCCGACTATAACACTCCGGACCAGCTTTCTGGTGACTTTCCAGAGTTTTCTCACTCGCTGCAGGAAGTCCGCGAGAGCAGGTCCAGCTACCAAGCCGCGAAGTTGCCGCTGTCACGTCACGCCGTAAATCACCTACACATGGCGGACGCCGCTCTGAGACGAGTTACCGGTCCCGCCCGCCAAAAATAAACATGGTTTGAGTGTCAGAGTGTGAGGCTAGAGCCCAGGAGCCAGAGGTGTTTATGAAGGAGCTGGCGGCAGAGAAGACGTCAGTCATGTCCGTGCTGAGAGAGCATGTCTCCTTCAGGGTCTTAAGGTCACACGAGAAGCTCTTCAGTACGACCTTCCTCAGTCACGTCCGTAAACATCGCTCAAGCGCCACAGTATGACTGATTCACAACAAAGCTCTGCATGAATGTAGCTGTAGCTCTCCAAAATGATCAAAAATAGAATATGTAAAAATATATGTAATAAAATACTACAAATTTTTGTTAAGAGTACTATTTTCCATACTGGTTATTTGTGTGAACTATGGTACATAAAATGGTTCCTGTTGAAGGGTCGTGCACCTGACAGACTGAGCCTGTTTAAATTACTCCCCTCTGGGTGTGCTTTTTGGTACTGGCTGTGTACTCACACCCCCCCTCTGTGTGTGATGTTTGGTACTGGCTGTGTACTCACATCCCCCTCTGCCTGTGATCTTTGGTACTGGCCGTGTACTCACACCCCCCTCTGCCTGTGATGTTTGGTACTTGCTGTGTACTCACACCCCCCTCTGCCTGTGATGTTTGGTACTGGCTGTGTACTCACACCCCCGTCTGTGTGTGATGTTTGGTACTGGCTGTGTACTCACTCTCCCCTCTGCCTGTGATGTTTGGTACTGGCTGTGTACTCACACCCCCCTCTGCCTGTGATGTTTGGTACTTGCTGTGTACTCACACCCCCGTCTGTGTGTGATGTTTGGTACTGGCTGTGTACTCACTCTCCCCTCTGCCTGTGATGTTTGGTACTGGCTGTTTACTCACACCCCCTCTGTGTGTGATCTTTGGTACTGACTGTGTACCCCCCCTTGCCTGCTATCTTGACCTCTAATCACATGTGAGTACCCACCCCCTCAGGCTCACAGCAGCCATTTGACAAATGACTTTCTGGAAGCGTCTCCTGAGGCGTCTGTGAACTTGACACCCCTATGGCTGAGATGTGGGGCAGCCTGAAGGAAATCTGCCCCCCCCCCCAAAACAGCTGCCATGGAGTAGCTTTCAATCTTTTTATGCTGAGTTGTGAAACCAGTCGGAAATCCCCCCACCTCAGCGAAGTGCGTCAGCTGGCCCGCGGCGTCACAGGGGGGAGTGTCGGCCCGCAGCACCAGCAGCAGGACATGGGGGCCGCCCTTGAACCCCTGCTCCACAGCGTGGGCCACAGTGTGCTTCACCTCCTCCGGGCTCAGCAGAAGGTTTGGGTAGGCGGGGGTGTCCAGCACGGAGAGGTGCAGCGCTGCCTGGCGCCCCTGCCGGCGCAGGAAGGCGGGCATGACCTGGCGCCGGAGCCTGCACTCAGTGGTGACGGCGCCGGGGGACAGCCGGCTGGGGAAGTCACGGCTGCCCAGCAGCGTGTTCCCCGTGGCACTCTTCCCGCTCTGGGGGCCTCCCAGCAGCAGGACGTTGAGCCGCAGGTCCGTACACCCAGCCCCAGAGGAAGGTGATGGGCAGCTCATTCTCACGTCTGACGCTGTTCTGCGCAAAACACCCAAATGTCACTGAGGGACTCATAGTGCCTCGAGTCGCGGGTCACAGAGGTCTTCAAATCTGTACACAGACAAGGTGTCACCATCGGTGAGAGCTTCCCATGTGTGGTGAGCTCACAGAACACATCCTTACATACATGTGAGTGTCACCCAGCCCGCGCTGCTGCCTGCAAGGCTTTTAATAAAGGAGCCTATTGTGAGGCCATTGAGATTCAAAGCAACTTATCTCAGTTATGAAGAGGCACTGCAGACTGTATCTGCGTCTGCTTCCTCTGAAAAGCCAGGCACACAGACACCAGAAAATGTCACCCGAGACAGGTCCACTTCCCCTGTCTTCCTCTAGCTGCCTCTGGCTTCCCTTGTCTTCACCTATCTTCCTGTTTTCCCCTGTCTTCCTCTAACTGCCTCCACCTTCCTCTTTGTTCCTCCTCTGTCTTCCCCTGTCTTCCGCCGTGTTCCCCTGTCTTCCTCTGTGTTTCTGTTTTCCTTTTTTTCCCTCTGTCTTCCCCTAGCTTCCCCCGTCTTCACCTGTCTTCCTGTTTTCTTCCTATGGCTGCCTCCGTCTTCCTCTAACTGCCTCCAGCTTCCTCTTTGTTCCTCCTCTGTCTTCCCCTGTCTTCCCTTTTCTTTCTCTGGCTGTCTCTGTCTTCCCCTGTCTTACTCGGTCTTGTTCTAGCTGCCTCACGCTTCCTCATTCTTCTTCTGGCAGACTCTGTTTTTGTCTCCCTCCCTTATCGATATTATCCTGCCTTAAATCACACACTTTTATGCAGACGTCTCAAAGTACTGACTCATGATATGATTTTATACAGCCCATGATGGGTTTTAACTCACTATTAAATCCAACTCCCAGATCAATCATTCATCAAGAAAAATAAAAATAAACCATTTATTCTGCACCCCCCCATGTTTCACCACCAGACCCTCACCTGCTGCTTAGTGGTTCGTTGACATTACATTGTGTTTTATTCTATCTCAGCTCTAAAATAGCTTCAGTGGTCGCAATGGGAAAAGCCCCACCACCCAGTGCCCCCCCTAGCTATTCCAGCTTGAGAGCCCTGGGTTAAAGTCTCCTCACTGCACCTATTCTGTCCCGCATTAAGGGCCAAGGGAGGCTATCCTACTACTCCCTGGACTATCTGGAGCTGCCTCACAGCTAAGATCAGATGAACAAACCCATTTGCGACGGTGCTGCTTACCCCCTTCCCCGGTACCGTCCTGCCGTGTCCGAGAGCACAGTGCCCGCTCACGATGGTGCCCGTCTGTTTACGGTAGTTACAGGTTTACTAATCTGCTCACCAGCTGCTTTCTTGCATTATCAGCAGGAAGCTGTAAAATTGATAAACATTAACCATGTGAGCACATGAAAGCGGACATTACACTCTTCATTCTCCTAAAAAGCTGATTCATTACACTGAGCAGAGCATTTATTATATTTTATATTATTTTACTCTCTGTTAACATTTTCCCGCAGGGAATAAATATGAAGCACTACACCCTTGATAATTATAAAAAATATTTAATATTTTACAAAAAAAAATTGGAGAAAGGTTGTTTTACCCAAGGTTTTGTGAGGTTGTGGAATTGTAAGACTGACGGCTTTCTATACGTTTCCCGGAACGGATCACAGCCCCTTTTTCCGGAAAGTGATGAGGTCGCGCCCCTTTACTCCCCTAGCTGGAGAGTTCCATGAGGTGTGACACCTATGCATTCAGACCCCAGGCGTCGGTGATGCCGAGACTGCCGTGAGCACGTAGCACACGCGTGCAGCTCACAAACGGGGCGGCTAGCCGGGACTGTCATGAACACACAGCACACGCCTGCAGCTCACGGTGGGCGGCTTGCAGAGGGTGAAAGGAGCATGATGACGGCTGAGGATGAAACAGGCCTCACCTTCTCGGAAAACTGGCAGAATATGACATAAGGGCACAGCCCAGTGCCTAAGGGCAGGGATTCCTCACCCTGCGAAAATGCAGAGCAGCCTACATCCAGATCTGTCTAGGCAGAGTAACAGAGCATCCCTGCAGCAATACGTGTAAACATCTGTCCTCTCTGTTGGACTAGAATGAATACCAGAGGATATAGTAAGGGTATTTGAATTTCCTTTTGATATTTATGAGAATAAGCGTTTTTTCGAAGAAGCCTTATTTCTCAACTGGCCTATGCTGACATTATGCCCTCAGTGAAGACTCTTGGGGACTACAAATATGGCGGCATTTACCCGGAACTAGGAAGGAGGGTCTCAGCTTCTTATTGGTTTACAACTCTGTCAATCACACCTCAGAAAATACAACCAGGGCCTGTATCACAAAGAAGGATTTCTCGCTTAGCTGGATTACTTGTCAGATTTGCGGTAGTCTGGTTAAATGCAAGTAAACAAAGAGAAAATCCATTTAAACTAAGATACCTTAAAGGGTTTCTGCTAAGCCTAAGCTTCTGTGGAAATCACAGCAGAAAATCTGTCCTCAAAAAAAAAAAACGACAATCTTTATGTTTACGAAGAATGCTGTTAATCATTCCTTCATTGCTTTACAGTATTATTCATGACAGACACTATTAGTGAGTATCAGCTCTACTTCCGAAGTCAAGATGGCTTCCTTGTCATGTGGACAGTCAGGTGTGTGGGAAGAGTGATGTGTTGGAACGAGACTGATCAGTTCAGTTTTGTGGGGATGTGCTAGAATGCCATTGGTTGGTTTTATTTAAAGGTTGTCTGGTTTTTGTTCGGATGTTTGTGAGGGGGGCATGGGGCAGGTTGTGTCTCTTGTGAAGGATTCACCCTATATTTACCTTTTCATCTATTCAGATATACTCCTGTACTAAAGATTAGTCCTGCGTGTTCCTGCCATGTACGTCATGGCTGCTCCGCTAGCCCACGGCCCTGTGATTGATTTTAACCCACTTAGGCACCAGATATTGTGTTGCTGCTGGCACTGCAACCATCAGGTTAGCACAAGATCTGAGGGCTTACTTCCTCTGCTAGGCCTTGAGCGTTTTCAGTCATTTTCAAAGGTCTAAATATTCTGTTCAACCACATCCTGCTCTGAACACTGAAATTCTGGTCATTTTTTAAATCACTGCCCTTCATTTCAAAGCAGATCTGAAAATGATTAAAAAGATGTAATAATAAATACTCCAAGCAAGTGCTTGGAAAATGCAAAAATTATAATTCCATTTCCCTTTAATAAAAGATTTCATAAATTATTATTCTTTGTTTTGGATTCCTCCCTTTTCAGCAGCACCCTCTCCGGGCGTCTCACAGAGTGATTCCTCCAAGACATAAACCTTTCTAGTCCTGCCAAACCTTTCCATTTGGTTTTCTTTCATGGTCTAAACCTTGGAGTGTGATTTCTGTGGTCAGTCGTCAGCTTCTCTGCCAATTTTGATATATTTTAGGGGTCTGAGAGATGGAGGTGAATGGCCAGAATATTTAGGCGCTTGCTGCGATCGCAGATGTGATCCATCTTAACATGGATCTGTGATACAAAGGGTCCCTATTTCACAGCAGATAGGGGGCCGCAACCCCCTAGACGACCGGCGATCGCTGGCACGGCCCTCCCCAGGGCGGAGCTCGCTCTGCTCGCACCGTGACATACGCTTGCCACTCATTTCCTGTCGATTTCCCTCAGATGAGACTCACTTTGTGACCCTTTCAAAAGGCTACTTCATGGAGCCTCTACAGTATGAGGGGTTTGTTTGGAAGATCATCTGCAGTCTTTGGATGCACCTTTACTTATTTACTGTTTTTACTATTTTACTACTTGTAATTTTACTTCTCCACCTGAATAGAGGCACGGAAATGGTCTCTTTTAGTCTCAGTTTTGTTTGCCTTTCTGCAGCAGATGGCCGCTGTGTTCCTGTGCTGCGCTCAGTCCCTGGTTAATCCTCGCTTATGCCAGTGGTGTGTTTACCTCTTGCCTGCTACCACCACCAGCGTGTCCAGGGACAGCCTGAACGGGCTCATCCAGACCATGGGCTCCCCCAGACCACCATGCGATGGTTGATGGAGGTGGTAAAGAGTAGCTGAAGGTGAGCCGTGGAAGACGTTGGAGCCCCTTCAGGAAACGACGTCTCTTGTATGCTAAGTGGTCACAGCAACAAACATGCTCACTAATCAGCCATGCTTATGTGGGCCATCTGTGTCCAGACACTCACATCCACAGGTGAAGCCACCAGCTCCACAGCGCCCCCATGTGAAGGTGCTGTAAAATGCACATTAGCAGCACTTTACAGCCCTATTCAGTTCACTTTAAGCTCATTAGATGGATGTCGTTGGACACCCTGGTACTGGTACAGATGTGGTGTAATAATAAGAGCCTTGCAGACGATGCAGCACAGAAGCGCATGTCACACAGGGGTCAAGCTCACGTGCTCTGGCCTCCATTTTTGCAAAGGTCATCTGCTAATATATTACAGTCAATAAGACGAAATCTGCTAGCTGTTTGCAGGGTCCAGTGAAATACTGACACCTCCATAAATCACACTCTGCTGTGACGAAAATGGAGATAAGAAACGAACTTGCCTGTGAACTCAAGGTCACCGTTTTCACAAAGGGCTGTGGAATATGTCTGATATCCTGCCAGCAAAATTTAATTCATCCTGCACACCTGCTGCTCTGGGTGTGATCCTCTCCAGGGTGGGCAGTGGATGGATGGATGGATGGATGGATAGATGGATCAGCCATCTGTGTCTTATAGCCAAATATTTTCCCATGATGCATCTCATTTCATAGATGCAAATAATGCATTAGTTTAATTAACTTACCCAATGTTATTGTTCTGGTTCTGTATTTTACATATCTGTCACACACACACTACACATGTTAATGGATATATCTCTGGTAGGTTGCTGGTTCGAGTCCCTGGGCCCCTGCAGCCACTCTCACTCTGGGCTGTACGTTTAGCTGACATAAAAGTCGAAAGGTGGCCTACAGCAGAGGGTGCGGTGAGGTGTGCTGTGGGGGTGTCCCAGGCAGTGGGGGGGCGGCATGACACGTGAGGCCTGCCTGTGAAAGGGCGACCTCCTGGGGGGCCCAGTGACCTTTTCTCTTTGATATAACGGGTATCAATAGATTGACAAAACTCTGGCGTTCCTTTATTGTTTGTGAAAACAAAATGAAGGAAAAAGAAAAATGGTCCCGACCTACTGGCGGCCACAATAGCAGGACATGATGTCACGCTGTGGCCCCGGGCCCCTCCCAGGGTGTGGCTCTACGCAGGGGCCTCTCAATGGGCCTGGGGTTGCGGGCAGTACATGAGAGAGAATAACGGCAGAGGATCATCTGAAATGGTGCCATCGCCCTGCACCGCAGTCTTCACTGTAAAGCAGATGGAAACTGAGCAGAGGGAAGTGTTGGGGGCCAAGGGCCGGGGGGCAAAGCCAGACAGTGACTCATTCAGGGACGGGGTTATGAGCCTTTTCCCTACAGAGCAGATGGAAACTGAGCAGAGGGAAGTGTTGGGGGCCAAGGGCCGGGGGGCAGAACCAGGCAGTGACTCATTCAGGGACGGGGTTATGAGCCTTTCCCCTACCAAGCAGATGGAAACTGAGCAGAGGGAAGTGTTGGGGGCCATGGGCCAGGGGGCAGAGCCAGGCAGTGACTCATTCAGGGATGGGGTTATGAGCCTTTCCCCTACAGAGCCGATGGAAACAGAGCAGAGGAAAGTGTTCGGGGCCAAGGGCCGGGGGGCAGAGCCAGGCAGTGACTCATTCAGGGACGGGGTTATGAGCCTTTCCCCTACAGAGCCGATGGAAACTGAGCAGAGGGAAATGTTGGGGGCCAAGGGCCGGGGGGCAGAGCTAGGCAGTGACTCATTCAGGGACGGGGTTATGAGCCTTTCCCCTACAGAGCCGATGGAAACAGAGCAGAGGAAAGTGTTCGGGGCCAAGGGCCGGGGGGCAGAGCCAGGCAGTAACTCATTCAGGGACGGGGTTATGAGCCTTTCCCCTACAGAGCAGATGGAAACTGAGCAGAGGGAAGTTTTGGGGGCCAAGGGCCGGGGGGCAGAGCCAGGCAGTGAATCATTCAGGGACAGGGTTATGAGCCTTTCCCCTATAGAGCAGATGGAAACTGAGCAGAGGGAAGTGTTGGGGGCCATGGGCCAGGGGGCAGAGCCAGGCAGTGAGTCATTCAGGGACAGGGTTATGAGCCTTTCCCCTACAGAGCTGATCACCACGTCACTGTGCAGGGCCTCTCAGCTAGGCTCACATCAAGTAATGCTTCATATCACTATAATCATCGGTCACACATGCGTCTGCCTGGGCCAGTCTGC